GCCCAGCTGGTCACAGAGAACCTTGGGTTCTAGACAGACACTGGAGGGCTGGCAGAAGCCATGTCCTGACTCAGAGGATGAAGCAGGTAGAAGTGGAGTCAGGAACGACTCTGCAGTTTTTGGCCTGAGCACCTGGATGGATGTAGCTGCCCTTCACTGAGATACAGAAGAGAAAGGTTTATGGTGGAGGGCGTGTTGAGGTTTGGATGTGCTGCATTTAAGATGTCTATCAGTCATTCAAGAGGAGATGTACACTTACACTACACTGGGATCTACACTGAGACATCAACACTGGAAGTTCAAGGCAAAGCTATGGGTTTAAGGTATTAATTGAGAGCAGTGAACCTAAATATATATGCAGAGCCATGAGACTTAAGGATAACACCAAGGTAGGTAGGGACTAGATGAAGAAGTTTGGATAAAGAGATACAATGCCTAACTCCTCAGGCATTCCAAAACCCAGAGATCAAGAGGCAGAGACTGAAGAGATAGGCAGGAAACCTGTCATAAAGTGCTCGGGGGCAGGATTTTGTAGCTGAAAGAGCACCTTCCATACTTATGGCAAATAAGTGGTGGCTGACTGCCTTCCCTGGTCCACGTCCAACAGCCCCATTTCTAAGCTCCCTCCTTCTTGGCGTTTACTTGGCATTAGAGCCTCCTGAGGGCTTTGCCATTTGGAAGCTAGATGTTCCATGTCTCCCACAGGATTCACTAGCTTGGGCAAGATGCTCAGAACCTGTGCTTACCTACACTAACAGCACAGGGTGTTCAGTATTAGGTGAGTGTAGTGAGAAACGGAAGATTTCCCGTCCTGTCAGTAAACGAGGAGGTCACAGTCATCAGCGACTGCAGCCACCAAGGAGGGTGCGCTGGTGAGCCCTGAGGGAACTCAGGAAAGAAAGACTACCTGCCATCTAGCGGCCACCAGACTGCAGTCACTCCCTTGGCAGGCCCTGAGGAAGGGGAGCTCCGGTGAGGAAAACACAGGACACTGGGCCCAGGCAGCTGAGGCGCCTATCAAAGCAATCACTTCCCTGAATCCAGACTCCTGCATCTTCCCATACATCTTGCTGTTGCTGTTTAGTCACCAAGTCACGTCTGGCTCTTCGAGACCCCATGGACTACAGTCTGCCAGGCTCCTCTGTCCATGGGATTTCCCTGGCAAGAATACTAGAGCGGATTGCCGTTTCCTCTTCCAGAGGATCTTCCTGACCCAGGGATCAAACCTGTGTCTCCTGCATTGGCAGGCAGATTCTTTACTGCTGAGCCACCAGGGAAGCCTTCCGATTGATAGGAAAGCGCTAAATTCCGTAACTTGGGACATCTGGTTGTCTTTAATTTACAATAATCTTTTCATGTTCAGACTGCCTGCCTTTTGTTGCAAAACTTCTATATAAGCTGGCTCCTTTCCTCGTCTCCTGGGAGCAGTTTCTCAGAGCTATCTGAAATGCTGTCTCCTGGACTAAGTTCCTCATCTTGCCCCCAAATAAAACATAACTCACAACTCTCATGTTGTGCATTTCTGAAAAGTCACACTGGACTGGAACTAGGGCTGGGCTTACATTTAGGGCACGCCCAAATGTACATGGTTTTGGGAAACTGAACTATATGCAAGGATTCACCCTGAATCACTAACAACCATCTGGGAACATTCTTCATTGACAATGTTGAGAAAGAACTCCTGTGGCTTATTTACTAAGTTCTTATCTGGTCTGAGGCAAATTGTACAGAGGAAAAAAGGTGAAAAGAAACAGAACAGGCAACCTTTTGGGGTTCTATGTCTGTGAACCAGCGACTCTGAGGAAAGCACTGCACACCCTCGTGGGAACTGCTATCCATTTGGACTAGACTCACTGTAATTTCTGGGTTTGACACTTGAGAGAAATGCTTGTAGGACTTTTTACTATTAAAATCAAAGATGCTCTTTTTCCGTCAGTATGAGAATAACTTTAAAATGTTAAACAACAACAAGGAAAATAAACTGTTTTAGTTTTAAAAAGAAAAAGCATCATTCCCCAACAGAAAAGCTGTCATTCCCCAGCTTCCCAAGTTCTCAGGGGTAACCTTTTGTTAAGTCAGTTTAACTCTTTTGATCTCAATAGGTATCTGAGCTTAATGTTCTTCAGTTCTCCAACCTTCAGGGTAGCCTCCACTTTCCCCAGCACAACTAACCTACTCTGAGCTAACCTTCACCATCCTGGAATCCTGGTCCAACTCCGTCTGCCTCCAGCAGACTTCCTACTGTGAAATCCCAAGCATCCACAAATGCGCGCCCTTTGCCGCTGGTCTCCTGTGGCTGGGCAGCTGTCCTCTCTCTACACTCCCTTCACCAGAGAAGGGGCCTCCGAATTTTCCATTAGTTCTTCAAACAAAGTGAATACCATCATGTAACCTGTAACAAAATTTAACTGAAGGCCTGGGCTTCCTAGGTGGCACTAGCAGTTAAGAATCCACCTGCCAACGCAGGAGATGTAAGAGACAAGGGTTTGATTCCTGGGTCAGGAAGATCTCCTGGAGGAGGGCATGGCAACCCACTCCAGTATTCTTGCATGGAAAATCCCATGGACAGAGGAGCCTGGAGGGCTACAGTCCAGAGGCTCAAAAAGAGTAGGACACAACTGAATTGACTCAGCACGCAACTGAAGGCTTGGGGAGGAAAACTGAACACCTGATGTCAGGTAAACACTACTTTTTGATTCGATCAGTCGTTTCATCAGGGGCAGGGCCTTACTGAGGTTCTTCTCTGTCCTTCATAGCCAGATAGGAGTGCTCACTTCGGAGAACCCTCTTTATGAAAGGCTAGAGGCTTTCCTAACTAGAGTAGTAGTTAATTTCACAAATTAACCAATCACAGATCTGGTAATCTGACCCCGGCAAGCTCCCAACCCCGCCCCATACCCACAAACAAAAACAACTTTTTATCTTAAGTCTAGAAATCCAGAAACCCAGAGACCTAGGATAACTGTATGTATGGAACAGCCAAAAGCTCAGTGTTTTTCCCAGAACAGGAAAAAAAAAACACAGTATGCCATCTATCTGCTTCACTTTGCAAATTTACCACTTTTTGGTTCCATCCTCACATACTCCCCCTAAACAGCCAAATATTCCCAAATCATCATTATTCAGGTTTAACCCCCAACTCTTTGAAACTCAAGGTTGTTGTGAGGGTTAAACACATAGTACGATGTCTGGTATACATACTAAGTGCTTAATAAAAGATAAAAACCTGCTGTTATTATCACCTGCAACATAGCATTTAGCATGTTATTTGTAAATGTCTCAGAATAACAGTCTATCACTGCATAAGCCCTTACGAAAGTGAAAGAGAAAGTCGCTCAGCTGTGTCTGACGCCTTGTGACCCCATGGACTATAAAGTCCATGGAATTCTCCAGGCTAGAATACAGGAGTGGGTAGCCGTTTCCTTCTCGAGGGGATCTTCACAACCCAGGGATTGAAATCAGGTCACCTGCATTGCAGGCAGGTTCTTTACCAGCTGAGCCACAAGGGAAGCCCAAGAATACTGGAGTGGGTAGCCTATCCCTTCTCCAGGGGATCTTCCTGACCCAGGAATTGAACCATGGTCTCCTGAATTGCAGGCAGATTCTTTAGCAGCTCAGCTACCAGGGAAGCCCAAGCCCTTATGAGTAGGAGCTAAATGTTTGACATCTTTTTTATCTTCTGAAACTTTCTGCCAAAATTGGGCACTTAAAAAATGTAATTTTGCATGAGTGGTTCCTCTCTCAATTCAGATTTATAGTGTCTAAGAGAGGTTCTATGCGTAACACATAGGTTCTTACCTCACGGTTCCTGTTCTCGAGTTTATGAAGACATGTACAAATAATTACAGTACAAGACAAAGTTTAGTCATGAGAAAAGTTAAAAAACTGCTAAGGGATTCAAGGCAGACCCAGGTCACAACAGTGATCTTCCCAAGTGTGTTCTGGGAAACCCTACTGCAATTCCTAAGACCCTTTTCACAGGATCCCCAAGGTCAAAATTTTTCAAAATACTACTGAGATGTTATTTATCTTTCTCACTTATTCTCTCAGAAATGCACACTGGAGTGTCCAGTGTTCCCTGACCTGTGACAGAGGTATGTAGAAGCTCATAAAAGATGCTGGTTCTAAAAAAAAAAAAAAAAAAAAAAAAGATGCTGGTTCTCTGGGATTAAGATAAGACATTCAAGAGATTTTTCAAAATGCCAAACAGTGACACTTTTCCTAACATTTTTCGTCTTGGAAAAGTTTGTTTTTCCATAAAAACATGTCATTTCTGTTAACATGCAATGAATTCTTCTTTTTAAATATTAAAAAAATTCTGAACTTTATAAATTTAAATTAGAAATATGGTAAATAAATATCAATCCATGTTTGTATGCATGTAACATACAAAACCCACACTAAAAACTCTTTGGGGTCTTCAATAATTCTTAAGCGTATAAAGGAGTCTTGAGAGCCTGAGATTCAGTTCCAAGAAAACGGTCTTATACTTGAGTGTTCACGGTGAAATCAAACGGGTTTGCTGGAGGAAGACGGCGAGTTTAGTTTCAGTCTTTCCTACCATCCTTCTTCTCTCGACCTTAAAGCCTCACGAATTCCTGCATCTCAAACCCTTCACCTTTGCCATCTCTCTACCCGCCCGAAGCCTACCTAACCTTCCTCGGGTCTTCATCTAGGTCTGTGCATCTGAAGTTGTCTGGAATGACCGCCCTAACGTAATGGTCCCCGCACACCTTTCCTGGTATTCTGGGTTAACCCCGATCTCTTTCAGCTCAAGCGGAGGAGAGTAGGAAAAGGGTGTGGAGGACCGGAGTCCAACCTAGAACCTCTGTGGGTCCAGGTTCTCCGCCTGGAAGGCAACTCAAGTTCCCTCACCCCTTCCAACCGGCGGCGCCTGCACCACTCGCCCGGCCCCGAAGCTTCCCAGCCCCCCCATCGCCGCCCCCCGCCCCAGCCCGCCCCACGTGACCCCGCCACCCCCCGGGGTCCCGGGGCCGCACCTGAGCCGGAGGCGCCCCCGACTCCCCGCCACCTCGGCCAGTCTCCTCCATCCCCGGCCCTCGGGCGCTCGGTCCAAGCTCCCGCTGAGCCTCCGCAGCAGCGGCTCCGGAAGGCGGCTGAGGGTCGCGCCGGCTGCCGTGGGGAGCGGCGGCCCCGAGGGCGCGGCCGTCGGCGGCGACGAGGTCAGGGGCGGCGGGGCCTGCGGCAGCTCCCCGCACAGCGACAGATCCCGCGCCGGCGACCCCAAGCCGGCCGCGGCTCCCGCCGGCCGCATCGCGCGCCTTCCGCTCGCCGCAGCGCCGCGGAGGCAGGGGCGGAAGGACAAGGCGGAGGGCACTGCGCGAAGCTCTGAGGAGGAAGCACCGCTCCCCGCCCCGCCAAGACCGGTTTGCCTGAGGGAGCCGGGCTGGCTGGCGGCGCCCGCCGCTCCGGGGGCGGGGCCTCGGCGGGGGCGGGGCCTCGGCGGGGGCGGGGCCGCCTACTGCGCGCGTGCGCGCGCCGCCCCCTCCCGCCTCGCCACCTCCCCCGCGCCGCCTCCTCAGCGCTGTCGCCGCGGAGGCGCGCCCTTCAAACGCCGGGGAGGTGGAGTCGGGGCTGGGCGGGAAGGGTCGGGCCGTGGCAGGTGGAGGAGGAAGCGGCGGAGGAACTACGCCCGGGCGGCTCTACTACGACGAGGAAGCCTGCGGCGTAGGGGCTTCCCAAGGCTGTGGGAGGAGGAATTCCTCGCGTCAAGGAGCGAGCGCGCCGCTTTCCGTCGCCCGGCCGGCTGCTCCTCCGGAGGCGCGCTCGGCTGACTCAGTGACACCGGCGCCCGCGTTGGGCCACCTCAGCGAAGGCGTCCTCGTTTTCGGATTAGCAGTGTATGGCAATGCTGAGGGAAGTGGGGCTACAGATCCAGACAGATACTTAATGGAAACTGTCTGAAATCTGTGCCTAGACTTAAAAAAAAAAAAACAAAACACTGGGCTGTGGTGTATTTAGTTAAGTCTTGGAAATGATTGTTTTTAGCAGGAGTCATCTGGTTTCCTCCGAGTCAGACTGCCAGCCACAAATGTCCTAAATCAAAGCAGGCAACTTTGGATGCCCTTCCCTGGAAGGCTTCAGAATAGATGAAATGACAAACGTAGGCGGCACCTGCAGGCGCTTTCCGTCACTTAGCAACGTTCCAGGCCATTGCCCCATTGAAAACTAGAGGGTAGTTTGGGACAAAAGCGAGCAAGCAACTTAATGAAGTGTGACTAGCCAGGTAGCCCCCAGACAGCAGGCTTCCTGGTCTAATTTCTTGTGGTGTTAACTTTTGCATCACACGGGGACAGCAGGATTTCCCGTAGCAGTAATTTGGACACCCAGGTTCTACTTTTTGTCAACGTGGTTGCTCCATACAGTCTCCATCATATTCTATTGTCACTATTCGGTGATTTTTTAAAATTCGGAATTAAGTTCAGGGTTCAGAATGAGGTATAATGACCAAGTGTACAAACTTTGGATCCAAGAAGATATGCTGGATTCTAGTTTTATGACTTTGAATAAGTTACTTAATTCTCTGCCTCATGTGCTAAAATGGGAATGAAAGTATAATAGTGTATGTCTCACTCTTTGTCTGAACCCAGGGTGTAGAAGGCATGAGCAGGGAAGCTGGAAGAAAATACAAGGAGCAATAGGAGCTGCAGACATGTTTTATTCGCAGTGGCTGATCCGACTAGAAAGCAGACATGGACAGTTCCCCGGGCTGTTTCAAGTGGTGCTTATATAAGTATACAGAACAAAGGTGGCATTTGGCCAAGCAAGTACATCATGATGCCCATGGGCATTGCTATAAATGATGCCAGCTGTTACATAATCATGCCAAGTCATGTTTACAGAACATGGGACAAGAGTGAGAAGATGTGGGCAAGAGAGCCTGACCATCACCATCTTGGCTAATTGCTATTCCTTTACCATATATAGAGAGTTGTTACCAGAATTAAAGGAGTTGATGTATGTAAATCAGTTAACTCTGCTTAACATGATGTTGTTGTTCAGTTGCTAAGTCGTGTCTGACTCTTTGCGACCCCATGGACTGGAGCACGCCAGGCTTTCCTGTCCTTCACTATCTCTCAGAGTTGACTCAAACACATGTCCTTTGAGTCGGTAGTAGATTATAAATGCTGGCTGTTGTTCTTACAAGTGCAAATGCTTGTGTCATACTCAGACATGGTAAACCTTTTTCAATTACTTATGGTGTCTTCTGGTTTTGTCTTCAGTCAGTGAAAAGATATTAGTCTATTATTTGCAGGTACCAATTATGGAAATCAGTTCTTCTGGTCTTTATTATCTCATCATTATTGGTTTAGTCCTCTAGGCTTTTAAACTTGAGATTCAAGGGAGTTTTTAAAAGTGTGCTACATGCAAGTTTTTGCTTGTGCACCTGCTTATTCGTTACCCTGTGGGTAACCTCCCCAATCTGATTAAGTACATTTTATCCAATACAGCCCAGCTGGGTACTGATAATGTCTGTAACCTCCCACCCCCTCCCTGCTTCTCCTCTCTGCCCCAAGACAAGTGCCTCCCTCGTTTCACTCTAGTCAGGGCCCCGTTTTTCACCTAACAAGTTTATATCCTAGGCATTCACTCTACCCATCACCCTCCAATCTGTACCTTGGACTAACATTACATTTTATAACTGATCTTTTCCACCTCCCAATCAAATGTTAATATTTTTTAATGTAATTTCACTCCTAGGGTTCTTTTATGGGGCATGATGGTACAGTAGAAAAGAATGTGACCTTTAGACTTAACCCTGAATTTGAATTTTGATGCTGCCAGTCATGAATGGTGTGACTTCAGGCAAATTACTCAACCTCTCAGCTTCAGTTTGCACATTTGTAAAGAGTAGAAGATAATAGTACTTGTTTCAAACAATTGTTATGAGAATTAAATGAGAAGTAATATGTACGTATAGAAAGTGTCTAGGAGAAGTAGATTGTAGTTTTATAGTACTCTCAAAGTTGCCACGTTAATTTTGGGAAAAACATAGTAAGCAGTAATTCAACTGCCTTTTCTGTATTCACCATTATATTTCTGTAAAGATAGGAGTAAAACAGAGTGGAGATCTGACTTTTAAATGCGCCTTGAAAGTTCATGCATGTTTACAGATAATATACTTGGCAGTTCTTCCTCATTAGTGCAAAGTGACACAGGGCTTTGTGAATCCAGACAATTTGCAGGAAGTCTGTGGTTTCATTCTATAGAAATCCGTTGATGTCATCTTCGAAACACTCACAGATCTGGAAGATGACATAGTTTTTTTCCTTTACACAATTTGACTAGAGAGTGTACTTTAGCCAAAAATGCCAGAATGCCATTATTTTATATCTGGACAGATTTTCAAAAGCCCAGTGCAGGAGAAAACTCTGAGGTCCTAGGATCTGTATAAGACAGGGAAAGGAGACTTAACTGGCATTCCGTCTCTGGCTTTATTCCATGCCCAGCACACTTTGTGACCTCTGACTCATCCTCTGTGTTGAGTCCGTGCAGTCTACCCTCTGACACAAGTTTCTCCACTTCCCTTGCAGCCCCTTCTTGCCACCATCTCCCAAAGGATTGGGGGGATTTTCCCATTTCAGTTTCAACTTTGGAATAGCAGCCAAGTATGCGTTAATATTCCATAGTCTTCCTTCATGATGAAACATCCATGCCAGAGACTACATTCACTTGTCCATATTCATTCATTCATTCACAAATGTTTATTCGATACCTGCCTTGTGCCATGTTCTGGCCCAAATACTGTTAAAGGATGGTTTTCATTTTGTTTTGTTTTTATTAAGCCTGCATTTTTTTTAATAGAGTGGTATTAGATTTATAGCAAAACTGAGAGGAAGGTATAAAGATACCTTACATATCTTCTGTCCTCACATATGCATAGCCTCCTTTATTCTCAATATGGCCCATGAGAGTGGTACATTTGTCACAACTGATGAACCTACACTGACATGTAATAATCAGTCCATAGTTTACATTAGGGTTCAGTCCTGGTGTTATATATTCTGTGGGTTTAGACAAATGTATAATGATACGTTTGCACCATTATGGTATCCTACAGAGTGTTTTTACTCTCCTAAAAATCCTCTCTGCTCTGCTTATTCATCCCTTCTCCCTCCCAACCCTTTGCAATCATTGGTCTTTATACTGTCTCCATATTTTGGCCTTTTTCAGAATAGTCCATGTAGTTGGAATCATACAGCCTTTTCAGATTGGCTTCTTTCACTTAATATGTATTTAAGGTTCCTTTGTGTCTTTTCATGGAGTGGTAGCTCATTTCTTTTTAGTGCTAAATAATGTTCTGTCATCTAGATGTATCACAGTTTGTTTATTCATTCACTTACTGAAGGTCATTTTGGTTGTGTCTAAGTTTCGATGACTGTGAATAAAACTTCTGTAAAGATCTCTGTGTAGGTTTCATGTCGACATAAGTTTACAACTCCTCTAAGTACCAAGGAGAGTGATTGCTGGATCATTGGATAAGATTATGCTTAGTTTTGTAAGAAACCCCAGACTGTTTCCCAAAGTGGCTAGATCCTTTTGCATTCCCACCCTCAATGAATGAGAGTTCCTGTTGCCCCATAAAGCCTGGCCAACACTTGGTGTTTGGGTGTTTCAGATTTCGGATAAGATGAGTTTTTTTTAAAAATAAGAAACTTGAAACCATGACTCTCAACAAATGTACAATGAACACAAGTCAAAGATTTTACTTAACACATTAGTAACTGAAGGAAACAATATATAAACTCAGCAGGGAGTTGAAATGAATTAGCTTAATAGATGCAAAGCAGCTTCTTCCACAGTGGAGGAGGAAAATCCATTGAACCTTCCCCCAACAGAATTTATCTATTTATAATCAAGAACTATTTGCATTACTATCAGTTTTCTACAACTTCTATCTCTCAGAGTTGCAAAATACTTTAGTCAAAGGCAGAGATAACCCAGATTAATGAGCTAGTTAGGATACCCATTACATTTTACATCTTTGTTAATTCTTTCTTAGAGTGGTTAGAGTACACACATTTGTGCTCAGTCACTAACTCGTGTCCGACTCTCTGTGACCCCATGTACGGCAGCTCACCAGGCTCCTCTTGTCTATGCGATTTCCCAGGCAAAAATACTGGAGTGGGTTGCCATTTCCTCCTGCAGGGGATCTTCTCCAGCCAGGGACTGCACCTGTGTCTCCTGCATTGGCAGGTGGATTCTTTACCACTGCGCCACCAGGGAAGCCAGTGCTTAGAGCACAAGGTTGAC